ATGGATAAAGACATGAAGAATGTGACACAGAGGTTAGTGAAAACGAAAAAATTTCGATTGACAAGTTAGTCGGTATTCTCGGCACAGCAATTAACGGGACTTGAACAGCGGAACTTTGTAACTGAACAAAAAATTATGTATGTTTATAGAATTAAAGAGAAAGTATTATCACATAAAACGAAGCAACTTAAACAACTTACATTGAAAGAAATGTTTAATAAAGTAAACAAAAAAATATGAAACTTTTTTTTTTTTGTAAATTTTGATACACTTTAGATCATAATTGTTCTTTATTTCATAAATTACGGTTTCATATTTTTAATTTTAGAATTTCTGCATGCCATCTTACGCGATTTAAACTGATGATCTACAATCCGGAATCGCTGAAGTCCCGACGAGTCTGGATTAACGACTTTTGACTGTATTTCCTTTCTTATGTTATTTACTTGTTTGATTTAAAATGCAGTTTATTGAGATTAGATATGTTTTGTTTTAATTATGTTTTGGATACCATTTTACTGAGGAGGGCATAGGACGTAAACAAGAATGACACACACACACAAAAAAAAAAAAAAAAAAAAAAAGCTCATTTTCACCAAGGGGTACCTTTAAATATATTTTGGTAAAAGTATAGTTTAGGGTACCCCTTGGCGAAACTGAACGATTTTTAGTGGTACATGGATACCAATTTTGTGCAATGCTTTGACTCGTTATTTTGGCTCGCGGCAATTTTTGCGCCAAAAATCGTCGCTACACAAAGCCAAAATAACAAGACAAACAATTGCACAAACTCAGTATCCACGTACACATCGACTTATTTTCACTTAAAAAAAAACCACTCGAATTGTACAAAAATGGCACTGCGCACTCCTTTATCCATGTACACGTCGACCTATTTTCACTTTAAAAAAAATCCCCGAATTGCACAAAAATGGCATTGCACACTCTTTTAACTTTATCCATGTACACGTCAACCTATTTTCACTTAAAAAAATCCCAGAGTTGCACAAACTTGCATCGCACACTCCCTTGACTTTGTCCATGTACACATCGATATATTTTCACTTAAAAAGTCAAAGGAGCACCGAAGTCTACAATATAGGCAAACAAAAAAATACATAATCTCAATAAAATACATTTTAAACCAAACAATAAAATAACATAAAAAAAGGAAAACATGTTATACATTTAAGCACTACCAAAAGCAAATATTCACTTACCATGATTTTCGGGTTCGCTTCGTACACCCAGAGCCACGTAAAAATCAAAATATCAATCATACTCAAATGACTTTTTTCAAACCAGGTACTCTTTCTGATCGAACGCTTCACATAGTGACCATCTGAACCTTTCTTCCTACAAACCCATTCAAATCCATCTAAACGGTTTTAACACACACCACAAAAACACTTACAAAACATCCCATGATTCAAAATTTCCCAGAATCATGCACCCGATTACGTCACAATAGGGTTTTCCATAACATTCAACTACTCGGGCTACCATAAATGAAACAACAACTTGGCGATAAATCAAACAACAACTTCGCCATAATACAAGGGGTGCCTCAACGTCTACTCTACCCTATATTTTTACATACTTTCCTTCTTGTTGCCGTTCTGCATTCTGGTCTTGCAAGTACTGCTAGCCACAACTGCAGCTTGCCCAATGGACGAAAGTGAAATGTCCTAATAGAAAAAGACATAATGGAAAAGTAACCACTTAGTTAAGTAAGCAACAGTTAAATTTCCAGGTTGTGTTTGACTTATCTCACTTGTCTGACAGCAATATCAAAACAAGCCCACAACATTCATCATGCCAAGGAGTGCAAGATTGAGCATGTCATTGGCAAATGCCTTGAGCACTATACAGGTGACAGTACAACTTTGCTTAGTTCTTTCCCCAATTTGGATGGAGAGCACCCCAAGGGTCCTAATTTCTCCACCTTTTCCCCGATTACCAACCTCTCGAGAAGATTTTCAGCTAGCTGCATATTTACAGTGGCCCCATGTTGCACGGACAATACACATGCCTTCTCCAGGATTCGTACCCTGATCCTCGGTACAGCAGTCAGTGTTGCTAACCACTACCCTGGACAGGCGGTAAATTTCCAGGTAGTTTTCTTAGGTTCTTTTTTCAAGTAGGAATTCCTAAATATGGGCATTTCAAGAATTTAAGCTTACTAGATTATGAGGTTGAAAAATACTAAATAGAAAATAACTTTGTACATCTTTGTTACTTTTACTGCTATATTTGAAATTTAAAAAAAAAAATGGGCTAATCTTTGGAATATGGTAACAGGTAGTTTGGCGACATTTTGGTAAGGCGATAAAGGTTACTAGCTAGGACTTTAGCAGTGTACATGGATACTGTTAAGATTGTGCGCAATGCTATTTTTGTGCAATTCTGGGATGTTTTCTTTAAGTGAAAATAGGTCGACGTGTACATGGATACATGTATAGGTGTATGTGCAATTCTTAAAAACGTGGCAAGCAGTGGGCGATTCTGCACTTTCTCCCAATTTCGCATCTAATCTTCGTCATGATTAAGCACTTTTGTTCCATAAAAGTTCTAGCATAAGCGTAATTCGGCTAGCAGATTGTTGGAAAAAAATGTTGAGTAAAAATTTAAAAAATAAATAAAATAAAATAAAACATGCCTTTACTTCGTGAAAACAAAATGGCATCAAAAAAAAAAAAAAAAAAAAAAAAAAAAACTAGCAGGTTGCTGTAACAGGGTTGGTTTCCAAATGTTCGCCAAAAAATCGCCAAGTTACCATAATCCGAAGATTAACCAAAAAATGCTACAGAAAGCAATTATACAAAATGTTACGTTCCTCTCACTGTCAAATTATTTTTGCAGTCATTAAATGGCAACTTGTCAAACTATATTTTTTCAATGTGGTACAGCCAAATGACTAAGATTATAAAAACACTCTGCTTTTAGAAGAGTTATATTTCTTGGGTAAAGTGCAGAATCACTGGTGCATATCGATGTGTACATGGACAAAGTCCAGGGAATGCGCAATGCCAAGTTTGTGCAATTCCCTGATGTTTATTTAAGTGAAAACAGGTCAATGTGTATATGAATACCAAGTTTGTGCAATTCTTTGACTTGTTATTTTCAAGTTGATGCAGAATCGCCCACTTATAAGCGTGTATCGATGTGTACATGGACAAAGTCAACAGAGTGTGCAATACCAAGTTTGTGCAATTCTCCGATTTTTTTTAAATGAAAATAGGTTGATGTGTGTACATGGATACTGAGTTTGTGCAATTCTCTTACTTATTATTTTCAAGTTGGCAATTTTGAAAAATGCGCGAAGCAGTGGGCGATTTTGCACTTTCCCCAATTTCTTTTCCATTAAATATTAATTGCTCTTTACCTACTATATTTCTTATTTCAGGTACTCGGTTTATACTAAGAGAAAGGAAATTAAGCTTTTTATTAATTCTTTGCCAGTGTATCAAAAATACTATTTATATGAAAATTGAAATCAGAGTATAAAAATTTTAAAATTATTTCTAATAAAATATTCTTCTAATTTGTATCTATCAGAAGTTCATAAAATTATGTTTTTTGACTTGGCAGTATTTGAAAGGGAAAATGCTCAGGCATCTTTTCTGTGCTTAACGCGCCTGGGTATGCATTTTAAACATGTAGCAGCTTCCGTTTTCTCCTGTATTTCTAAACAGTTTTTATAAGAAGACATTTTGGCCTTTTCATGAGTTTACAAAATTTTCTGTACTGTTAACACTCATTTACTTTACACATATGTAATTTCTTTCTATAATGTGTACACTTGGAATATGGAAAATATACCTAAATTATTTATCATATGTAATCGTTAATTAGAAAATACTGACATAAGCAGAATGAGGATATAAAAATGATTTAATTTAGTGAAAATGGAGAATTTTTTAAACAATCACTAAAAATAATCAAATAAAAACAAGGAATAAAATCTAACAGTCATGAACAAATTCTCTATTTGCATTTAAACACTAAATATCTTGTTTTTTTTTTTTATTATTATTATTTTTTTTATTTTGGTAGATTTTTTTAGTACCTAAAAAAAGCTTTCACAACAAAAATAATGTAGAGGAAACAGGACATAGGAAATTTGTGTTGCAAACAAACAAAAATTAGCAAATAAGGTAAAACGATTTTATCTACCATGCCAAGTTACCACCAACATTTATATACTACTAACACTGCAACTGGAATATATGTTATATAATTTCTGCCAGTATGTATGGATGCAAAATATATTAATTTCAGACATCACTGAGCATAGAGCTGACAAACATTATTGCAAAGTGCAAAATAAATTAAAAGAATCTTCACAGTTCAGTAACATACTGAAAAATTTACAGTGATTATGTATTAGAAAATCACAATCTATAATATGGGTCTTAAAAAAAAGACATTACCAAAAAACATTCATATACATATAACTTTTTAACAATTCACAGCATTTTTTTGCAATAAATTAAAATATGAAATGCTATACAAAAAAATTTTAAATCATGATTTTATGATTCTAGAATAATATTAATCAGATCGCTAATGCATCAACTATTAAGGTTAATCAAATTTTTAATGTTAGTCATTAGGACATTTCTTGCATCTCGCTGCTGAGCCCATTTCTAATCCTATAGAGATAAGGATAAAGGCAAAATTTTAGAGACCAATGTTCTCACGTTCCTTTGCGAATATATTTCTCAACAAATGATTTTACACAAATTGTACTTTATTAATTACGTTCATAATATAATGTGAATAAAAGACAATATTTTCATAAATACTGAAGGTTTCTCGAGTAAGATAATCATGTAAAATATTCTAATCGGATAAGCCTTAAAGTCAGAAGAAGATCGCGGAACTTAAGAGAGTACATTTGTTAATAATATGGTGTTAAATAAATTCTAGAATGGTATAGAAATATATAGGAAAGGACAAAAATGCTAAATAAATGTACATGATATGTATTTACGAACCTCAGTCTCTTGTTCATCTTTTACACAAAGACAAGCAGCTCTGCGCCTAAATCCATCTTCGTCATATGTTCTGGTGGAATTTGGTTTTTCCTTCACCATTTTATAGAGAGTGAAAAGAAAAATATTTTGACTAATGCCTAAAAGTAGTAAGATCGGTTGCGGGCTACGTAGCCATGTTCTCCGCTTTTCTTACTAGGTATTGCAGTTGCAGACTCGATAGCGCAAGATCTTTTCGTAGCAGTGCAGATTCAGGATCTCTTCTGATTACTCCTGAAGTCAGGATGTAACATCCACTCATCTTCGTAAAGAAAATATTTATCTATTAATTTGTGAATTGGCATTGATAAATTTAAAAGATTTCTTCAGTATAATCGAAATATTTCGTAGAGCCTTTCACACATACGAAGTATTTACTTCTACGAACACCTACCTCAAGGATGTATGCTTTTCGTCCAACATGCGTTAACTTATCCCTGCTGAAAATCATCCACGCCAAGAACCGACATTTACGTCACAACCGCCGCAGTGAATGCAGCAGCAAAAAATGTGTGACACCGTCGATTCTCCTCTATGCATGACCTGATGTTTAGAAAATTAATGCATTCGAAATTATCTCTGTATGAATGTGGGATATTTGTTAAGTGTGAAATTAGTGGGTCCAATTTTGCGAAGAGTTTTTAATATATAGGTTAGTATTAATATTTTTTCTATTCTCACCTGTTTAAATTTATAGGTACTTTAGAAATAGTCTTGTCAAATAAAATTTTATTCAATGCGGTAACTGGTATTTTGACATTGGATTAAACGGATTAAGACTGTTTCAGGTCATATGTGTTCAATATGAGTATTTTTAATTTGTGCATGAACTTTTATGTGAATTATTTATTACATGGAGACAATATTCAAGTAATCGTCAACCTGTATTGACCTATATTGACGATCAGATATAACTAATATGTGTCATTAAATTAAATTGTGATTTAATGTATCTCTGTATTATTTCAGTGACAAGATAACGAAACAGAAAAGTAGGATATATGTTCGGATGTACCGTGAAAATATTATTGCGTGGAGTTGTAGAGCATGGCAGCTGATTCTGGAGGTATTAACGAACCTTTACAATTGGAACCTTTTATTCATCAAGTGAGTCCATTTTTAATTAATAATATTAGCTGAAAATGTTGCTTCTTTGTTCAAAAGTTTAGTATGCTTTAAAGTATAAGATTAATATCACATGATATTTTGGGCTTTATGTGTGTATGTAACTGAAAGGTAATTAGCCAAAAAATGATATATTGTTTAATTCAAGGTGCGAAGTATTTTTAATTAGTACATAAAATTCGTATGAATTTATACGTCTGTGAAATATAAAATTAATACCACATAATATTGTATTTTGGGCTTTATGTGTATAACTAACTGAAAAGTAATTAGCCAAAAATTATATATTGTTTAATTAAAAATAGAAAATACTTTTAATCAGAGCATAAAACTCATATGAATTAATATGTCTATTTTAGAAAACAGTAAACGGTTAACAGTATCTGTAATCAGGTTATTGACATTTTTCATGAAAATTGTTGAATTTTTATGAATATTTGAGGTCTTAATCTGTATAGCTATATGTTATTGTTGCATGCATTTTGGAATGTGTATTATATTTATTAGTCACTTTTATGAGTCGCATGTTTTTAGAAAAAAAGTCATTTGACTCACAGATTAATTAATGATTAAATCTAAAGTCTAGATGAAGGATTTAATTCTATGTGTATACACTCATATTCAAATCTGAGTGAGTTTAATTCGAATTTTTAATTTTCCTCTCGCTTATAATTCGTGACTAAAAGTTATCACAGGCGTAGAAGCTAAATGAGATCTTTTGTTTTGTGCTTTTATAAATAAGGAATATTTTGTAAAATTCTTAAGAAAAGTGTTTTTTTTTTTAATATTATGAAAACATTGTGGGTATTTATTTTTTGATTGAAAGCAATTCTGACACATTCATATTCTACGGGTCTTCTCATAGTCTTGAACATTTTTCTTTTTTAAATTAGGACCTTGGAATAGAAAACTTATCTTACGTGCATGCTGCCGACATAACATAAACAAACATTTCCAGCGCTGTGCGCAAATCATCGGGTCTCTGTGACGTGTCGGTTCATTTGCGTGTATCGGTACTCGTGGCGCCATCTGCATTTGCAATGCTGCTTAACAATCGGCCAGGTCATTAAAATTTATACTGAAACAGTTTTAATTATCGAAAAATTTACTTCGAGAATTTCTGCATATTGCTTTTTAAGAAGTTTTTCATGTAAAACACATTTCTGTTTTCATAGAACTAGAGGAAAAATTCATCAGGATTATAAAATAAAGAGTGTCTGTCTAAACTATTTATTTGAAACCCTGGAGAATATTAAATAGTATGTATTATACAAAGTTGCAATACTAACGTACTCCATGTTTTACATACATTCAGAACTGAGACTAAATGCTACCATTTACAAGTTACATCTTCCTTATTTTGAAAAATTCGCAAGTTAGTCTAAATTTTTGGGCAGCTTTCTAATCACTCTACCACTTCTAGTTCTTTGATCACTGTCTGTTCTAAAAGAGAGGCTTCATTCTTTGAATCAAATAGCAAATCCGAATAAATTCCAATAAGAACATGAAAATAGTAAAACTCTGAAGAATCTCAAATACATATTTAAAGATAATATGTTTAATCTCTCTTTCGAATTCTAGACCTAATCAACAATACATCATTGTTGCCCAAAAATTCTTTTATGTGAAAAATAATTATTATGCATTGGAGATACAGGCACCCGCATAGTACATTAGTATTTATCATCCTCTCATCTTGCAATGTGAAAATTTAACTTTGCAAGAATTAAATGATAAAAAAAAGTTTTTAGAAAATGCTAAAATTTAAACTGCATACGTAAGTGGTGAGGAATACCAATAAAATAACAGAATACAAAGCACTAAAAATACAAAAAAAGTAAAATACTGTCACAGTGCAAAAAATAAAAATATAGTTTAGGAAAATTAATAAGTACAGTAACCAAAAAAGTCTCTTTCTTTTCTCGGCAAATTCCGCCGAAAATCCATTGCTGTGGTAGTACACGCCCAGTGTTATTTTTTCTTTTTACAAATAAACTTTCGTCTATACGTAGGGTTGCCGTAAGTAGGGTCGCCAAATTTGGCGATTTATGCGAATTTTGGCCTGGTTGCGTTAATACGTAAGTACCGTTTTTTCTCCAACACTCGTAAATTTATGCGATCTGAAGTTTTGTTCAAGAGTGGTAATGATAGTAGTACTTTGTAGTAGTGGTACTAAAGATTTTCAGCCCACCAGCGGCCGAGCGATAAAGTCGCTGAACACTGGTAGTTTGGTCCGAGGTTCGAATCCCGCGAACGGGCTGGCTGCATGGGCGTTTTCGTGGTTTTCCCCATGTGTAACGTGTATACGAGCCAGTTTCCCTTAGAAAGTCCTCCACGAAAGGCATCCCTCCCGTTAGGCAGATAGCCCTAGTGTGCTTTGCCATAATTAAATACACACACACACACTAAAGATTTTCAATTTTTGTTTAGATGTTTCACGTTAGTCAAAAGGTTGAGAACTGCTGCTTTAGATGACTTATTATATTTTTTGATATTTTTAAAGATCCAAGATATTCTTGGCAAAATCTCTGGTTGATCTTTACATTATGGTAACTTGGCGATTTTTTGGCGAAAATTTGGCAACCAACTCTCCTACAGCAACCCTCTATTTTTTTCCCCCGCCGCCATTTTGTCTTCACGAAGTAAAGACATGTTTCTTTTCTTTTTATCTACTGAACACTTCTTCCAACAATCTACTAGCCGAATTATACTTATGCTAGAAATTTTATCAAACAAAACTGCTTAATCATGACAAATATTCACTGTAAAATTGGGAAAAAGTGCACAATACTATACTCCTTACGCGTTTTTCAAAATAACACATACACATAAACCATGTACACAAAACGCCGACTTATTTTTACTTTAAAAAAACATCCCAGAATTGTACAAAAATGGCATTGCGCACACTCTTCACTATATCCATGTACACTGCTTTTTTCTCATAAATTAGAAAAATTTCACGAAAATACATGAAATTTTCTCAATCTTTAAACCCGGTAAAAAGAACATATATGAAATTACCTGATCGCGAAAAAGTATTTACCCTTTACAAATATGAACATTTCCACATATAAATAAAAAAAAATCCAAAAACTTTTACCTCTAAATCATCTATTACATTATACACGTCACCAACGAATTCATACCCGCAAGCATTACAAATACTTAGTATCAAATATTTAAATTATTTCCATGCACGTTTATTTCAACTTAAACGTATACCAAATTCCTACAAACATAAAATTCACAAAATAACTATCATTTCATTAAAATATATTTAAATTCAAAAACACTACTTAAAATATAAATGAGCACATACATAAATACCTATTTCGAATTCACTTTAGTTACGGCCATGGGATCCAAAAATTAACGAACACTGTTTCACGCAACACAGAATAAAGCTAAATACAAAATTTCCACATTTTTTCCCGATTTCCCCCCTTTTTCGATTAAAGAACTGTAATTTGTCCATTAATATCACATGACCATGATCTGCCATTTCCCTCACGCAAAATAATGCGTAATCGGAATTGAGTACTGCTCACATTATTACCAAAGTCCCAGGTAGTAACCTTTATCGCCTCTAAAATGTCGCCAAACTACCAGTTACCGTATTATAAAGATCAACCAAATCTCTTTTTGAAAGCATCAGCATTTTCTAAAACCGGAGAAGATATTCCAAGAGGATCAAATATTTTATTTCACAAATGCTAAAATTTGATCTTTTGGCTAATCTTTAGAATATGGTAACGGGTAGTTTGGCGACATTTTGGTAAGGCGATAAAGGTTACTAGCTAGGACTTTAGCAGTGTACATGGATAAGGTCAAGAGTGTGTGCAATACCATTTTTGTGCAATTCTGGGATGATTTTTTAAGTGAAAATAGGTTGACGTGTACATGGATACATGTATAGGTGTATGTGCAATTCTTAAAAACGTGGCAAGCAGTGGGCGATTCTGCACTTTCTCCCAATTTCGCATCTAATCTTCGTCATGATTAAGCACTTTTGTTCCATAAAAGTTCTAGCATAAGCGTAATTCGGCTAGCAGATTGTTGGAAAAAAATGTTGAGTAAAAAAAAAAAAATGCCTTTACTTTGTGAAAACAAAATGGCATCCAAAAAAAAAAAAAGCAGGTTGCTGTGGCAGGGTTGGTCACCAAAAAATCGCCAAGTTACCATAATCCAAAGATTAGCCGATCTTTTAGTCATCTTTTCCAGCAGGTCTTCAATAAGTGGTAGAAATATATAGGCAAAGCATCTCATTTACATTCGCAAGATTACATATTGCATATCGCTTTTACATTCCCAACACATTCCTAGCAGACTGGTTTGTCTGCTGGGAATGTGTCTGCTGCTAGTCATCTAAAGGATTGGTATATTCCCAACCATGGAGATTAAATTTTCTCCCACCTAATGTATCAGCTTATATAAATTAATGAAATTCCTCATTTTTACTGATACTAGTTAAACAGTTATCCACATAAAAGCTATTTTTCAGCTTTTTTACGATTTTCAAAGGATACTTGTAATTTTCTTCACTTGTTCCATTCAAAGTGCATTCCAAATGATAATGAATCATAAGGCCAGTAAAACGTGGATTACAGGAAACACCAAGAACGGTTGTATAGTGTCGGAAGTACTTTAAAAATCCATCAAATCTGTACCACAAAGAATTATATTAGATTATCTCTAGGATGGATGCTGATTTGTGAAAAAAGCCTTCTGGATATCAGATATAATGTCAATTTGCTTTATATGAAATCTATTAATAATTGAATGAATTAATTCATTGAGATTCATTCCTTTTTCAATACATTCTTTAAACTAGGTGCTCTTTTCTGCTTCACTAAAGCATTGAAAAACAGGTTTAATTATGGTAATGGTGTTTTCTTTTACAATATGCCTATGAGGTAAATAATACCACAGTAATTCACTTTCACTATCCGGTGTCTTTTCACTTATTCCTTGTTGTTACC